CTTTAAATCATCATCTAAAGTGCGACATTGTAGCATTGAATACTCACGATCCTTATCGCCTGGTCAAAGTTTGACTAAGTCCTTCATGTAGCTTCGCATCGGAGCTTCCCAAGGGTCAAAGCAGTAGCCGCGTGTAAACATTGAAAGCAGACACAGAGCAGGGTGTCTGTTTGCCGCGCAACGCAATATTTTATGTTCTGGCAGGATCGTCAAGTAAGTAATATTCACCAGGTTTGGGACTTCATGTTCTCCTCTGCAGCAAAATTTAGAGCGGTGGAATCAACAGGTTTTACCACTGCACCACAGTTGAATAAATCACATGCTTCGGACAGAATTCACCAGTTACTTGCACCGTTCAGGCAATACTCTGTGTGATAACTCCAGTAAAATCTGAATTGGTAGGCGGCTAAGTAAAATTGGTGCGAAAGCCAAACCGGGAAGGAAAGGTGGGGAAAGTCCAACAGCCAGCACTGTGTTCAATCAAATCCCAATAAGCAGTCTGCTAACAATGTAGGCAAATAATCCTTGTAACCGACAAATCACAGTCCGTGGGATTCCACCGAACCATGCCATAACTGATATCCCTAATTCCTTTGGTTCGCTGCTCTTCAGTCTTCTCAGCTGACATTTTATGGCTTGATTGATTAGACCATTTAGCATTTTGCTTGAAAGCGAGTCTGACTGAGTTGCGTGGTTGGTTGTGCAACTGGTGGGACTTCAGTTAACTGCCGCTAACATTTGGTTTTGTTTGACGTCTGGTTATACTTTGAGAGTAAAACGATTTTACATTTGCGGGGAACATTGTTGAGTCCCGTAGCGCAATTCTCGCTTTGAATTCTCAATTGATCAGGAAGTCTTACGTGTTGCTCTATTCCACCGCCGATTTAACGGTCACAATGTTAGTAATGGATTTGCGTTGTTCTTATTGCCTAACGCATCAGCTACGTCCTGGGCTCAAGCATGAAGCTGATGCGCTTTGAGCTGCGTACCATAACGCCAGCAAATGAGTTAGGATATATTATCATCTACACAACCAGTGCATTCTGTAATCTCTGGGGGTTTACACCGGAGAATAACGGCGTTAACACAAGGAACTCCACTTGTTTTACTAAATAACAATGGCTCTAATTGACATCTGCCGCGGACTGTGCAACCTCGCTCCCATACTATTCTGAGATGCCATCTGCTCAAATTGCCACACACTTTTGTCGACCTGCTTGTCGACAAACATGTTATACAATAATGGTGTCCAGACCACGGAATGTTGTTCAAAATCCCGTCATATGCTCTCAAACAAAGCTTTATGAAAAACGCATTGAAAATAAGCGGTCATAATTGCTTTCACCATTTCACTCGGCGGGACGAATTAAATCGAAACAAGCTAATTGCTCACCAGATGTGTTCATAAGGTTGCGGCAAGTAAACCTACACTAGCTTTCAATTGGATATTCGAACGAATCACTAAAAACCATAATTTCCCCACGTTTATACTTTTTATATTTTTGCTTTGTTATCCTTAACCCGATCAACCTGCCGGACTTTTCAAGCGTTCGCTATCTCGTTCGCTACAAATCATATTCATGATCGACGTTCAAGTTTGTCACACGATCGTCGCGGGTGATGGTGTGACCCCAAGTTGAATAAGCGGCCCTACAATGAATATGCGATCCAAGCCTCGAGTAACTGGCGCATGCGCGACATCAATGCACTTGATGCTACACAACGTAGAGCGACCAAAGTGGTTTGAGGAATGTTTCATCTCTCCTACCATCGCAGACTGCAGTCCCTGTGACGTCACCGAGGAGACCTAATCATGGTTTACTTAATACTGATTGAACCAACTCATCCTTATGGCAATTTGTTGCAGCTGAGCCGAAATACCAACCTGAGAAACCGTCAACTCAAACTGGCTACGAGCTACAGTCGACCAGATTGTCGACGAAACGTATTCTCCCTCTATGTGTCCCGCGCCTGGAATGCCCTTCCGACTCACGTTATCCTTGCCCCCACATTAAAGCTATTCAAAAAACGCCTTGATGAAATGCTTTCCAAATTGCATTTCTTTATATTTTCCGTTCCACCTGGAGGACGAAATAACACAAACCCAACCATGTGCTTAATGTCCCTCTCCGCAACGTGGTGGTGAGGATACATGCAGAAGTGCTTATGTTAGTAGCCTGGATGTATCTAAACTGGATTAAACTACCACATCTGTTCAATGAAGAAACAAACGAGGGATAGTTGTTGTTTCCTTTTTTCTTCCGCACCCATTACTGAACTATAACAGCTCTCTATACGTTTTTATGTTAGCACATCCCATTCCCACTTCAAACTAAACTTATGCAGTGCATCTAAATCGGTAGACGCCTAAAATAACCCTTTACTTATTAAATCCTCCCGATTTCAATTTTTACTTTAATAATCCTACCCGACTTGTCAGTCACATGCATTTTACCCTTGATAAATCATTATGCATTGTACATTGGCTAACCAAACAACCTTGCTGTGGTAAGAGCTGGGTGGTTCCGGTTAGTTTCGTTCCAGCAAATTTTCAGCGGAATGTTCCAGGACGTGGTCGGTATTCGCATGGCAAGCGTTCACCTTATAAAAAGCCTAAAATATCCGTTTAACAGCAATGTGACTTGCCGGGTGTGACACGCCACTAACTGAAGTCACTGCCTCTTACCTATCCTGATGACCTTGCCCAATCCACGGACGTCAGTCATCCAATAGGTAGGAATCATTTCACCCCTACTCAAGCTGACAGCCTGACCAAAATCAATCATATGTACGGCGTCACATTTACGAACTCAAGCAACACGACCACGCACCTACTTACCTACATGCGTTCGTACATACTTAACACGTAGACCCATATGCTACCTAAAAACCAGTGTCGTATTTACACTACCAAACCTAGTTGCATCACCATGATCTGCCCAAACAAGTGATTCGTGTTGCCAAGAAGAAAAAAATTATTTATTTAGTTTAGTAATGTTATCTTAAAACACGAAATATGAGCGACAATAGTACAGGAATGATTGCAGTAAACCGGCAGCAAACTACACATCAAGCGAAAGATAAAATCTCAGATAACAGTAACTAATGTGTGGGATCCTTTTCTCTTATTCGCCAGCCTGGCGTTACAATCGGTGCAGAGTATGACATGCTATATTTTGTGATGATATCTACTCAAATTCTTTGGTCCTGAGTAGTTCATCTGAAATTGAACTGAAGCTGAACGATAGCGAGTACAGTTATTATGTCTGTAGATATTTCTGTATAACGTCATGGGTGAATCGAAAACGGTCATTTCATCCGATGTTCAGCGCACTCACCTAAGATGAACGTGGCCAGCAGCCGCACAAAGACAGGACGAGACTGTTGACCAACTTGGTATGTTTACACCAAATGGGTTTCAACGGAATAATTGATGAAACCTCAGCGAATTGAAGCTGGACAACGGCCGTCTATCCGTTGCTTAGGCTAAAGAATTCACGAGGGTTTTCATACATGGTACAGTCAAGTATGTATCGGGCGATCGAACTGGCAGGAAGCTTTGGACCAGATTTCGCAAAATATGATCAGAGATCCTTGAAGACTTCATCCTCTCAGTTCGGCCGAATTACTGGCAACCGCAAGTAAAATAAATCATATAAATTATTGAAGCGGCAAATCGAGTGCCTGAAGTGTCCAGTTTGGATTTAAACCGTAACTTCCAACTTTGGAGCAAACACACAAGCCAAATTGCATAATAACATTTTGTTAAAGATAAACGGATACTGGAACGTAATCTCCTATCGATTTTGGCGCCTTTGAATGCTAGCGTTATAAACAAATTGTTGTTGTGGACGTCGGGCAACCGTTCGAATAAACGCGTTCGCGTTTAAGTGTCTTGCTTTGAACTTTTCAGCATATCTGTTTGCTCGAGATCTCGAGGCAACTAGTTGCAGCTCACATTCAGTCGCTTCATCGGATCAGATCTGGCGAGCTCTCATATCATTGATATGAACCAGTGTACATTTTTAATTCACAGGACAGCAATTGTTTAAGTTAATGTATAATCCAGTCCGGGTAGGTTTGTGGTACACAGATCAAAAGACTGCACCATTTGGATTTATTTATTAGGCTGACGTTCAATAATAAAAATGCCAAAATGTTCTTTTTCAGCTGCATATTTTATCCCCTGGTGACAATTGTTTAGAGAAACTAGCATGTGTTCTGCTGGCTCGACATTGTCTACAATGACGAAGATGTCGTCTGTATATCGGCTACATGAATGTACGTCTTATCTGTAAGGACGTAACCGTGTTTTCCAGGTAACATATTAAGAGATCTAGAAACACAAGCCCAAATAGACTTCTAATGGATACATCATCCTTCTGTCGATAAATTGCACCCCTAAACTCAAAATAGACGTCCTTCGTGCACAAGCGCAATAGTGACTTTCGGTGCTGAGCTGAAAACCCAATTTTTCTGGCGGGTACGCCTATTCCGTCGAGAGACTCTTCTAGGATAAGTTTGGTGAATAAGAAACACACATTAAGTAAGACCACATGTTTCACTTCTGCGTTCAAATCTCGGATTCTACTGAGAATTTCGAATGCATCTTTTAGACAGCAACCAGCAAGATCACATCGAATATGTTGAAAATGTACGGCTAACCATTGTGCGTACTTTTGATACGGTGCGTAAGACCACTGAAACGGTTTAACGAAAGGGGACACCTACCGATATATTATCAGACGTATTGCACCAAGTCTTACATCCTTGCATAAACAAGGTCACATCTTCTTCGTCTAGTGCATTTTCGAACTGCTTACGTCTTTTCATCCAACTCAAGAAAATCTGATTTATCTCAGATTAAACATTTGAAGTTTTCATAATTGACTTCGTGTTTTATACGGGCTCAGATTTTTTTCCTACAATAACACAGGTAAATATTTTTTAGCTTACTTCAGTGAGAGATCTTCATATTGCTCCTAAAGACATTTTCATGCTAATTTCAAATTTGAAACCGCTTTTATTTTGTATTTTCTAGTTTTCATATGTTTGTTATTTCGGATAGATGGTAAATTAAATATCAATCTACTTTTGTTAGTTATAACCATGCGTACTCCAGTAGTCACAACTGTGCTAATGAATCTGATGCCTTTTGCTATGTATGCGAGTGTTATACACCGGTTCCCCAAAGAGGAAATTTCAGGTTGCTTGTAAAATGTGACTACAAGATATATATTGTAATACCGCTTGGGGAACAAGACACTGAATAGGCACCTCAAATGCATCGTGACCGGAAAATATCACACGAAAGTATTGCCAGTTGAAGTTCCCATGGTTTGGCGAGTGTCTGTATACCACATAACAGACTTATATTTTCGTACGGTTAATATAAGATTTATTGGCAACGAAAGTTGACATAAAATCCCCTATCCCATTGTTACCTCTGCAGTTCCACAAATTCCACCCTCCTAAAAACAATCAGTTATAAAATCGGTTGGATTTGTTTCATCCCTTGATGTAGTGATTAAGCGTGAAGATGGTGCTTAATTTTTGGAAAGGCTTCAAAGTATAAGAACGTTGTAACTGCAGCTGAATTAACATTATCTACACAGTTACTTAGCAAACAATAATACCATTACTTGTTGATTTTGGAAAATTCCAAGGCCCTGGCTAGGTATTTAGCCTTTGAAATACATGACAAATTCTACATAACTACTCAGCGTCAGCAGCGTTCTTGATAACTATGGAGAGCTAGTGAAAGAAATTTTATTGGCATTTCCTGAACTTTTGTGAACTTGCGCGCGAAGCTGCATTAAATAACATATATATTAACCAGTTTCCCGTAAATCCCAGGACATAGGGGGAAAGTTTTTAGCAAGATATGGCGACGATGGAATAAAGTCTTGACGAACAATGACAAATGATGGCTGACTGCCGTTATAGCATAAAACGGAATCGCTTTAATATAACAATCCTTCGTGATTGATTTTCTCAAATATTCTTTCCCAAATCATGCCGGTTATGCTGCTTTATTTATAAATATGTTATGCCAGCAGAAATCTTGCTACGGGGATAAATTTTTGAATGAATGTATATTTTCATGTTACAAAGGGACATAGACCATTACATTAAACACATTCTTCCCTCACAATTTTTTATAGGCAATTTCACAAAAACATACAGCTTACAGAAAGAAACCAGGGCATATGTGAAATTATTATGCTTATATTATATAAGAACAAATTTGCGTATCTGTAGTGAAATATAACTGGATATTGATCTTACAAATGTTAGCTAAAATTTGTGAAATGAATATCCTGTTAGATTTTCACTGTCAACAGCATGCAGCAAAAAACAAATATCAACATTGATGTAAGCATGCTCAAAGTACAAGAGAATCTGTGTTCGTTTTCTTGTAAAAAATATTTTGCGCAGTGTAATTCACGTTGGCTTATGTGAATGATCACGGTATGAGCGAACGCTCTGCCTCCGTTTTAGTTCCAATAAGCCGGTCCCGGGAACTGCTTGAATATGGCATACTAGCTTTTTTTCCTACAAAGTTATACGTGTCTGTTCTTTATCTTCGGCAAACGTTATGCATATATAAAATGAATTTCCTTGCTTTAACCAGTAAATTTATTGATGGCCTACGGAACGCATCCTACCTGAGGTTAAAGCGCTTCTGCCATTATAAGCCTTTTGCACCGAATCATACTATATTTTTCAATTTGCTCCTAGAGCAGCTAAATATTGTGCCATTTTTATTCCTTATGTTTTTGTTTACTATTGATTTACAACACTGTAGCAGTCTGGCGCATTGAATGGAAAGAATGTATCCTTTGGATCTATATAAATATATAAATATATTTCCAGTTAGCAAGAAAAAATTTTGTGTGTCGAGCTCACTGTTAGCTAACGGTATACCGTAAACCATGACGAAAGATGAAAAATGTTTGACCGCGTTAATTTTTTGGTTGATTATCATTATTGAATTCAGCTGCGCAATATTCCGGGATGCCGTTTTGACTGCGCTTTCGGTTTGATAAAATTACTCTTTCATATATTTCCTAAATGGGGTTTGATATTCTAACTTCATCTGCAAGCACCTTGCCATCTTAGCATCCAACACTGTTGTATCAAACAATTGGCATACCTGCGTGCCCTTTGACCTTCTAACTTTAAAGTTTGTGTCAATATGAAATTAAATATAATTGCTCAGAAACCAATTTAACATATCATAACCTTACCGAATTAGTCCGCTGCAAATATTTCGCACACTGTTTCTAATACTGTACGGCGGATGCTTATTGGAGGATGCGCATTTTGATTGGAGTTCCCTTAATATATGGATATCTAGTATTGCTCAAGATAAGCTAGTCTGTTGCATACTGTACGGCTGAATATTCCTAAGGGATCAGTGTTATAGTCTGCAGCACGGTGTCTTAAATACGAATAAAAGTTCGCTCTATTTCATGCAAAATTTATTGACGTTTATGTAATGTGGTTGGCATATGTGTTCTAGACACGGAATATTGTTTAAAATTAACTTGACTGGTACGCAGCAGGAGAATTAGCCAAAGATCCGTAAATAAAATAAACACATCTTTTGAATGCATTCCCAATACCATGCCAGTCAGGATGCTAGTCCCTAATCAAGGTTTTCCGAATAGCAACAATATAGTTTACACCTTGGCGCTGACAAACTTTTTGCCATTGATGATTAGAGATTTGAGGCGTGAAGGCTACACAATCGGCTCATGGGAATGTTCACAATATATTTAATTAAATGGGGATCGTGCGGGACACTGAGGTAAATGTAGCGAAACTGACCGCAATGGGACATATTAGCGGACCGCTTGGAAAAACTTTCACACAAGTAGAACACATAACTCAAAACTAATTTGGTCATAAAATTAATATCAAAATATGAAGCCAACCGTTCATCCGGATATTTCGAGCTTTATAGTTGGGATCAAAATTTCAAGGATAATACAAATCCTACCCTTGTCGCTCGCCTCTCATCCTACGCCACTGACTTGACAACCTTTTATAACGCACGGTACATATGTGCGAAAATTTAAAAAGCCTTCTCACTGTAAACCGTTAACTTTTTTTGTATCCCCTGTAATCAAATAACGTGCGCTTTGTCTTCTCGGAATCTTATTGCAGATTTCCGACGAATGTAAGGAAAACAGTACAAGTGGGAAGACAAAAGGTGCAAGACATTTGTTATTAGTATACAATGTACAACAACTCTTAGTATACTATGCCATCTGCATGCAAACTAATAGAGATATAGATTCAAAAAGTGAGTAAGACTATTTTGACGAACAGCTACCAATTATAACCCATTCGCCACTTATACTGTATCTAAAGCCATAGAATCAACTTCTTAGAAAAATGTGTTATATATTACCTGCAAGTAACGTTATTAAGTACTTAATAAAAACGGAGAAACAATTTTACATAAGCAGTATTTGACTGCTGGCTTCGCACATTTATTATCGCAAATTATATAAAAATATGTCTATATGTTATACAAAACTTGAATGTTACACTCTGAGGACATGTCAAATAACATACTTTAGGCATAATTTAAATTTGTATACCAGTAGTATTTGTGCTTATTGCGTACAAGTCGGTGTTCTGTGAGAACACGTTTTGTTGTACCGGCTAATTTAAAATGGGTTGTTTTTCCGTTATGGCCCAATAAAATTCTGCTAACTCAATACAGCGTAGAAGACTACAAGTTGTACTAAAATTTCGCGTTTATTCGAAAAGAACTTAGTGTACCTGATTGGACGATAGACGCTCAGTCCTCCTGGCAAGAGGATAGGGTGATTGGTTAAATGCATTCGAGTGAAAAAAGTTGTCGAAGTTAGCTAAAGCGTTTCAGTTGAACGGACAGGTTTCGACAGCTGTCCCCCAAGTCAGCCATTAGGTAGAAGAATTTCTGTGTCTGCTACTGGAAATGAGATGAGGATGCAATTAAAGATAAGCTACCAAAGAGTCTTTGGCAACCACCTTTTATGATGCAATAGTGCCAATGCTTATTGACTTTTTGTACCTCAGTAAGTAAAATTTTTATATCTTAGGATTCCATTTGTATGGTGTTTTGAATTTTCTCTGTCGTTGATAAAAATATTTCTAAGTATTTTCATCATGGATTTCGGAAAATATTTGTTATAGCGTTTCCTTTCCTTATAAGTACGTTATTGTAGATTTTTGTATATTAAGTAATTATTTATGATATTCCATAACCAGCTGATTTAGATTGCGTTGAAATTTGTTGATTTTTGTAGAATACCTAGATTTTACTAAGTATGCAATAATAAAGATAGCTTACAAGAACACATTGATAAAGATTGATCAAGGATTTAGGCAATACCGTTGCCATTTAAGTGGACCGTTTGAATGAACGCAATGCAAACTAGTTTTAACTTCCTGGGAGAGCGTCTAGTTTACTGCTTATAAAATCTCACATTTAGGACCTATGTTTGAGTGTTCTACGGTTAAATCAGCATTGGGAATATAAGTATTCATTCAACTAGTAAACTAAAAATGCTTCAGATACGAGCTTCAAACTACTTTACCAGCCATCATTCAGACCAGTATACAGCGGATGAAAAATAAACGGAATAACCAATCTCGCACGGAAAAGAAATTCATTTTCACATAAATACTATAACAGACTGAGTAAACATATACATGTTTATGCATTTATGCAGTTTCAATGTAACGTCCCAAACTGTAAAATTGCCTTCGTAACTGGCAAAGATTAACGAACTAAACTTATTTTCTTGAATACGATGTTTGTTGATAAGTTGACTTATTGAGTAAACGGTGCTGTATAAATTAACAATTTGATTGCTGAAGGAAAATCATGAGGGGCGTGCTCTCTGTCATTTTGCCAATTTTATAGGAATGTTCCTTTGGTATTTAAATGGCATCGTCTGATGTCAAACTCTACGGAACGAATTTAATATTGAAAATACTTGCTTCAAAATGGTGTGCCTTGTTTTAAGCGGAACAGCGTATATTAAGTAATGGAGACAAAGTAACGGGTTCAAACTCTCAACTGATGCAAAATGCCTTAACAAAATTATGAGCTGCAGTTCGTCACAATACTATTAAGCTGAATGCAAAGTAAATAACAATAATTAAGAAATTTTTAGCTGCTACCAAGCTGCAAGAACAAAAAGAATCGTGCTAACTTATTCTGTCTTTATTTGTCAGGTTTTCCAGTAGGTTGTGAAATAAAGTTTTATTGGTTATTCTTTGTAAA